GCAATTTCCGAGGAATCTGGTGGGGACAATGGGTCCAGTGGGTCCTTATCCAACCACCTGTGCCCAAGATGGGGCATTATATGTGGAAAAAAGAGGGGGATCCACTGGTGTTGTTTAGAAAAAACGAGATGCAGAGAATGGGACGAGGTGAATGAGAGAATGGGATTCTCAGGGGTGAATTATGGCTGTGTATTGGATGTTTTTTTCAACAATAAACGCGTATGTCTTGGCCGATTGAAGCTGGGACTTATCCAATGGACCACACCAATCGAAATGCCCAAAGGGGTTTAATTCATCCCGCAGATCCTGATTCATCGGCTCCACAGTCACTTCGTCCTTCGGTTCTTCAGTATTGTTTTTTTTTTTTTCGACAGGAAAGCGAAGCCATCTCTGAGCGGATGATCTAGGATTTCTTTTGTTGGATTTTGAGGGATTTCGATTATTCTTTCTCTCTCCAATCTGTAATAAATGAAGAAAGATAAACGATTTTGTTAAGTTCTTTATCGCTGAATTAACTATAATCGGGCGACTCGTCTCTTCCAATTACCAAGAACATTTGGTGAAAGCTTTGAAAATTGAAATTAACTTGGCTTCCGGACTTTAAGATGATCGAAACACACCGCTCGCATGCGATGAGATACCTCAAGTCGAATAAATACAGCAATTAAATCTCTTTCATTTTTTTTTTATCCTGTCCTCGTGTGCTTCGCACTAACAATCTCCGAAATATCCATCGCATGTTAGCCGAGTTGATTAACTCACCCAAATCTTGATACATTCATCTTGACAAGCTGCGCATATCCTGCGAGTATGTGAGGAGTCAACGAAATAATTATCCAGATGGTAATGGCTTAAAATCCATGAAGTCTCATCGGTTACACTGGCGTCACTCCTCAGGATTTCGAAATTCGTACTGAGTTGATTGCTACAACGACTTCTGGTACTTCTGCACTTACGCTTATTTATCGTCCGAGGGGATTGGCCTCATTTTTGTTGATGTGATTTCACTGGGGTAATTGCCTCCTTCAAATTAATAAGAATTAATTTACCAAGGAAAATTATCGACCTCCAGTGCTTCAAGTACTTGTCATGAAAAATCGTAAAGCGTAGATTTTATGGATTTTTTTAAAAACACGAATTGCTAAGTGTTTTTCCATAAATTTTTTTATATGGACTACGCACACGTCTTTCTCGAGCGATTGCATCTGCATCTGAGGGAATGATGTTTATTTCTTAAGTGAGTGGTATCCCATAAATGGCCTTCTGAGTCCCACTGACAGCCGCATATCGTATTTGGCAAACAGCCTCCGACGGATCTGCGTGCGAAAATATACATTTTTCTCACTTTTTTTTCCCTTATCCACTTTAGCACTTTACCTCCGATGTTGACTTTCTTTTATCGCTACGTCATAATGACGGGTCTTTTATGGCGATTCTCTGGAATTCACCGCTCATCTTTATAAAAAAATCGTGCAGAAGAGAAAGCATATTTTCTGTTCTTCGATTTTTTAAAATGATCACTTGTTTATTGGAAGCGCAAAACAGGTATCTTTTGTCGGAAAACAATTGATTATCAATACAGTTAAATAACTGTATGCATTTATTTAATTTGGAAGGGATAGTTAAATTTTCATGAGATTTTTCAACATTTCCGGAACTTTTTGTTCATCGAGCTCGCTAAAAAATTCGGTAATCCCACAACATCGGAATTGTTTCATTTCCACATCCCTATGCCAACGAATTCACCCGGAATTTCTATAGCGGACAACTCGAGTTGCCTTTTTAGTTAACTCCCTGCGCCAGTGCTCGTTCCGCACTGGTCATTACCCAGTAGCATTGGGGGAATAAACTAAAAACGAAAACTTTTCCCACCAACAGAGAGACGCATACTCGAAATTCAACAGAAGGATATCCACCCGGGTTTATTGAAATTTTTGGTTGTTGTGGAAAGAAAAAAAATGTGGTGTTAATGGCACTCTCGCACCAGAAAAGGTGGGCTGATTACAGAGCGGTAGAGAATGGCGAATGGCTCTCGCCAGAAAGTGCAAAACTGGCAATATAAAGGTGGTGGAATTGGAAAGAAAAAGTGGTTGAAAAAGGAAACAAACGCACAGACCACCTACTGGGACTTTTGACGTTTGTCCACCGTCAACATTTCGCGCCCTGATGAACCGAGTGAACGGTTCGACGCCTTCGCCGGATGTACCGACGAAATTTCAGAGTGTCATAATCATGGTTTAGGTTACGGATTCAGTCAGGCTTGAAACTCATCCATGAGAGCACATGAATGGCAAACACTGAATGTTTTTCGAGTATTCTCAAGTACAATTCAGTCTTACCGCCTGGTTAATACTCTGTAAACATATTTTCGAGAAGCTTACGACCATTACCGGAGTCTTAAAGTTGCGACAAACGATGAAAAATTGTCCCGCATATTCTGTTGGACAAATTTTTTTTCCCCCATGTCGTGCACTTCTACCATTCGATATCAATAACATTGAAATAATCATCTGAATATTATTCAACGATTTGAAGCAGATGATACTTATGCTCAATCGTAAAAAAATAATTAACTTCAACGATGATGACTTTGAGTCTTTAAAAGCCCCGACACAAGCTGTAAATACTCACTAAAAGTAGCTAGCATTCTCAAAAACACTTTCGTGTTTGCTGAGCCTTGTAATTTACTTCTTCCCATTTACTTAAAACCCGCGGAATTCCACAATTTTTATCTCAAAGAGTTTTTCCACCTCGACTCCCTGAGGTACGTATTTTCTAAACCAGCACCTGGCATTTACGCGTCTTTTTCCGAGAAAACCTTCTTATTCTCAGCTTTTTCGCGAGAAACTGATGGTGAAAGAGAGAGAGAGAGAGAGAGAGGAGCAAATGGCAATCTCGGATGAGATCTCACTCTCCAGGGAGACGTTAAGAGGTGGGGTAAAACGGCCATACTCAAGTGCTTCCGGAAAATGCTTGTGATTCTCCTCACCTCAGTTGGCTTTTGTCGGATGTCCCAAGACTAGCTTGGGGACACTGGCCTGTCCCCTGGACATTGTACCATTTGTGCGAACACTCGATTGAAAAAAAAAAAGAGGGAAGGGGGTGAGAAAGGGAGAATTCTGTATCGTTTTCAATCTCGTGACACGGCACTATGAACTCTACTTCTTCATTCATGGACTTTAGGCCAGGACAATGGCGCACGCCTTGCCGAACCCCACCACGCCCTATCGACCCGTCTCAAGGCAAGAGTGCATCCAGGAAAATCCCATCGTCCAATGCAAACCCCGTTCATTGATGAAAAATAACTGGACAATTTTAAGACGCTTTCATTGATGGGTCACTACCATTGACACCACGTGAATTACCAGGAAACCCGCTTAACTCCACTAGGACTTGCTTCAATGAGATTATCATCGAAGTCTTTGGAGACCTTCCGGATTGGTCGACAGTTCATTCATCTCTTCTTTTTTGGGGTTCATTCATAATTTCTCACTGGTGCAGGCTCGCGTTTTGTTACGATTTTTTGACCTGTCCATCTGCCCTGTAAATTGAAACCCAATTGCTTCGTCAGTAGAAAGCAAATTGAGGAAATCATCATGTGTGTTGATTGGATTATTGATAATAATTGCAATGGAGAGGTATTCGCTACCCAGTGAGAATGACTGAATTAATTCATTCTCTCGAAACATTAAACTAGTCCACACTGATTAGCGCTCACCGATTAGTATCAATTAACCATAATCCACAAAACCTCCGTTACGAAATCATCTAAACGAATTAGCCCATTAGCCAGGCAAACATGCTAATGACCCCATATGCGTTGAAAAGCCACCGATAGCGAATTCTAGCCGTAGTATAATCTCCCATCGATTAATCCCGGCATCATCGTGAACCCAGATTATTCGTCAATCGGAATATTTCAACGTAAAAAATGGGAGAGAGAGGATTTCAACCGTTATCACCACCTGGCTATATCAATTTTTCCAGTCGAAATATTTCCATTGATTCTCAAAGACCATTACAGCCTTTGCCACAAACAGAAAAAAATCCATGCGATAACCAAAGACATAAAGAAGTGAGACGGATAGCTATTTTTAGAGGACTACCGGAATCGTTATCATTAAATCAATTCAAATAAAATCAGTCTGAATGAACATTCTTTCGTTGTATTACATAAAGCATTTGAAGTAATTCATGCGACGAGGCACGTATCGTTGAGATTACAGCGAAAGGCTTATCAGTTTAAAACGAAAGGTCGTGTACGGAAATGGCGTGCCATCGATTCCCACAGTGTTTCAAAATGCCCACCAATCTGACAACGTGTCCACCCTTTTCGGGTGTGTTAACGAGTGTCCATGAGGTAGTTGCCGATGATATCGCCATTTTCCTTCTTTTTCCTTTCATTTAAACTCTCACGTTAATCTCTCGTTTCTGCATCCACCAACACATTTCAACCCACTCGCGATTTATAATTGGCTCGTAATTAATGGAACTCGGAGTATTTGACAGATAAAATGGAAATTTCCCCTCTACATCTCGCATACCCCCTACTTGACGGGACATTACGCATTGATGTATACACACGATTAATGTTTATAACCGCACCTCGAGTTATTTTCGTAGTCAATTATCAGGAGGTGTCATTAAGTAGGTGCAGTTGACTAACGATATTGTAATAATGTTTATACCGGGGTGTCTCCCTCCATCGGGTGGATTTTTTGCCGCCCCACGCCCACCCAATACCACCGTTTGAGTATCGATGGTTAATGAAATGGAAACTCTGTAGCTTCTACGAGGGTAAATGTAGCGTGTCGAGACGATCGATACACGTCGGGTGCGATAAATGTCACGGTATCTTGATAAGCCACCGTATATGTACGAATGAGTCTTGTGATGGCCTCCTGAATTCGACTTAAACACCTATTAGACCATTTCAATATCGCATTTCGTTAAATTTTTCATGGAATGATTTACATCGCCTCATTTATTTCCCTTTTTTTTATTGAAAAAAGCAGTTATACACGTTACAGTGTTGGAAGGTGAAAGGATTAACCATCAACTATTGTATAATATTGTGTATAGTCACCTAAAATCATTCATTTTCATTCGATAATTGGTAAATGTTTTAATAAATTGTTTTTGAATTATCGTGTTGATTTTTCTTCATAATATCACAAATAAATTATTCCCCTCACTTGATCTCATAATGACCGAGATTACCCTTGCGACGTCTCAGAGCTGTCCAATTAGTGCGTCCACTGTCCTGTGTAATTGAACGACGAACATTCGCCCTGTATTCGTCTTCGTAAGCATTGAGATAAAGATTCTTAAGGAATATTTGATTATCCAACTCAGATGGTGGTAGAAATCTCTTTGTGCGACTCTGCTGCTGTGCCTCGAGACCATTCAGAGTGAATTGCTTTGATTTTGATAATTGAGTGGTACTAGTGTGTGAGGATGATGCCTTTGAGCTGCTCAATGGTGAATTTACCGAGAGAAGTTTGCGATTTTGATGAGGTGTACTTGTTGTTTGCTCACTGGTATTTCTTATTCTCTTGGTGCGGTGCTTAGCTATCTCACTCTTGTTTCCCAAGTTCGGTATCTCGTTATCCAAGTGAGAGTCTGTCGTTGATGATGCTACAGTTGATGAAGTTGTTTGATTATCATTTGTCCCCGAAGTGACAGATGATGCTGTTGATGTTGATGCTTGCTCTGGTATTGCTACTGTGTCCTCTGAATGTAATTTATTATCTATGATATGTTTGAAGAACGCATATATTTCACCAACAGTGAATGTTGTACCGTTGCGCACGGTAAACTTGTCTATATTCATTTTTCGCATGAGCTCGTCAGTCCCATTCTGCGACTCCAAAATCGACAATTTTTCGTTGACGTACCCATTAATAAACTCGTAGAAACCTCGGTAATAACTTTTGGACCTAGCCCCCTTCTTTCGCTTCTTGTCTTTTGAAACTTTATTATCATCGCTGTGTTCAGTCTTTCGCCGCTTCGAGTCTTTCCTACTCTGTTTCTCACTCCATCTCAGAGATTTATTGTAAAACTTCATTATCCTCTCGAATTCACGTTTTAATTTACTGAATTCCCTCTGATTGCGGATTTCAAAGCTATCGTGGTATCGATTTGTATTGTTACGACGGGACTCAGCGAGATCAACGTGGAAAAAGTTTTTAGTCATGAGATTAAGTAGTTCGTGCATAGTGGTGTTGACACCAGTGTTGTTTCTCCTTGAATCAATTCGTTTGAGTTTACGATAAACAACCTTGAGGAAGTCGATCATCTTATCATCCTTGGAGCGCGATTTGTTACGGTGGGATGAATGCTTCTTTCTAACAAACAAACTCTCGATGGTACTGTTTGAATCCACCGAATAAATCTTGCTATCGAGTTTATCCGAGTTATTCTGAGGTTTATTATCAACTAACCCCAAGGGAATGGCTGTAAAGTTACTGACCTCCTCGGTTTCCAATTTCCGTCGTTCGGATTCTTGTGCTTTATCTAATTCCATGTGCAACAACTTTTTACCAACTCGCCGAAAGAATTCAATGAACTTCTTAAAATTTGTCGTTGAGTTGACTGTTGCCTGTAGCTCGTCAATAGATCTCCTTCGTCTGCTCCATCGAATCCGTGGATGCTGGCCGGGTAGACATTCTGGTAATTGCTTTGGCCTCCAGTGTCCACCAACACATGTTGCACCGGGAGGGCCCTCACTCAAGACATACCCCTTATCGCAGTCGTACATGATCTGCTTGTTGTTCGGGACCTTCTTGACGTAAGGTCGATAGTCATAGACTCCCATGTTTCCGACGAGTAGGACTTTTCCGTTGGGAACATAGCCCGGAAAGGCGCAATAGACTTCTTCACAGTGAGGCGTCTGACCAATCCAGGTGCCGTAATTACACTCCACGTGAAAAGAATCATTCTTGGGACCACCAATCAGAACGAAACCATCTTTACACTTAAACACAGCCTTCATCCCGTGGTTCATCTTTGGTGCAATCACCATGCCGTTTTTCGGTGTTCTTGGTAGTTGCTTGCACCGCGCTGGTGAACACGTCGGAATAATGGACCAGGTTCCATTGTTACAGACCACTGGTGTGCTGTTCTGAGCGAATTCATAGTTTGGTATGCAGAAGACCTTGAGCTTCTCGCCGTGTTCAACAACAGTAACATTGTTTATATGGTCGGGTGACGTATCGTGGTGGTCCACAGTAATGTGACCCTTGTCAATCTCTGGGATGATGCACGGTGCGAGACAGTGAGGTAATGGATACCGCCATTTGCCATCCTGCTGACATACTGACGATGTGTTCCCCTTGAGCTTCATGTGAGTCGCACACCGAAAGATTATGCTTGCCCCAAGACCAGTTCCTTTGAACAGAAAATCATAAGAAAGATTGTAACATCTTCATCAAGAAAAAGGTCAGACATTTCACGTGAAGGAGTTTATCTCTGGGTGATACTTTTTTTGCTGCTCTCGGATGAATGATAAAACTACCTTTCAGACACGGCAAAGATACGTGAAAGAGTTTCAAGCAGATAGGTGAGAAAGTAAAAACAAAAGTAGGAAAGAGAGAGTGAAGAAAAAGGTGTATATTTTCCGGAACAAAGAGCTGTGGAGAAAGGCCAACGTTGCGGAAGCGACGGGATCGATCAGTGGTGAAAATGCTTTTCAAACTCACCCTCGGTATCGAGACCCTCGATCCATCCGTTGTACAGAATTCCGGGTGAGCCACAGTCAATTTCTTTACACATCGGTGCCTGTCCAGACCATTTTCTATCAGCCTGACACTTTCTTGTTGCCTGCCCTACTAATATATACCCATATATGCATTCGTACGAGACAATCGCGTTGTAAGCGTAGGAAGTGTAAATGGCTTTTCCATTGGTCGGATGATCGGGTAATGGGCACTGAACAGCCGTTACCTGTGACAGATTGCAATGTACGACTTGCACTCAATCAATTCAACGACTGTTTACGGACATGTGAATTGAGACTTACTTGGACGCACTGGGGTAGATCCTTTGGAGTCCATGTGCCGTCAGCCAGACAGACTTTCTCCGCTTTACCCACGAGTTCATGACCGTCAGCGCAGTGATAGGAAACACGACAATTGTAGGTATGACACTCACCTGATGAAAGAAACATGCTTGTAGTGGAAAAAATGCATGTGGACTTGATGTGCTGCTGGCACCGTCGGTCAAAATATCATGGAGGCTTCGGTCTTCTTAATTGACCGGTTATAGATTGATTAGACGATAGAATCGGTGCTCATACCGACGGTGCTTGCAACACTTTGAGCTCATTATCAGGGTAGCAGATGTAAAAACATCTTTTGCAGAAGAAATGTGGCATTTTTATTTTCCAGATTGGATTCAATGAATGGAGACATCAGCTTCTCCCACCGGAACCTACCAGCGTGCCATCCGTTCGGTATATCCGGCGGTGAGCCGCAGTTCTTCGGGCCGCAGGCAATGTCCGGTCCAAACCAACTGACCTTCCCATCCATCATCAAGCACTTCGCCTGTTGAAATTGTGTTCTAGTTTCGTAGCCGTGATCGCAGTAATACTGAACCGTATTCTCCAAATCGAATGTTGTCTGCTCCAGTGGCGCGCTGTTCTTTGCATTAGGAATTTTTGGTGGTTCCGTGCAGAAGGAGTTGGTGTCCTTCTTGCAAGCCGGCACAGTACCGCTCCAAGTTCCGTCGCCCCTGCAATTTCTCTCAGCAAGCCCAACCATGAAGTAATCCGGATCGCACTCGTAATGCACAGTATCACCAAAGAAATTCCCAGTGACCGTCATTTTTCCATACGATATATCCAGCAGGGTCGGACACATTTTCTCCGGTTTGAGACATGACATACCGCAGATACCATCACACCGACACTTCTTCTTGGTACTCTTGCAGTCCTCATCGGTGGAGCATTTCCTCAGACACTTCTGGCCAAGCAATTTTGCCTGACTCTCGTCCCTCGGACACATTGCCGAAGGCGAATTCCGTGGATTCTTGTAGATCCTTCCGTCATCATCAATCTCGGGCTTGGAGTAGTCGTCATCGTAGTCGTCGTCATCCTCATCCTCCTCCGTCACATCGATTGTCGCCTGTTGCTGAAGTTTGGCTTCTATAACAAGGACCTGGGTGAACACAAACAGCACGAGCACCGGTAGAATAACACTTGGCCGCATTGTCAGATTATAACCAGCACTTGTTTATCAAGTAACTCCAAACCAAGAGGATATTCAGTAGTTGATGGTTTAATTGGCTCACATGGCCCAAATTTAGCATCAACTGTGATCTCTACGGTAAGATATGTCTCGATTTAGAACAACGGCATTTCAAAAATTTCCGATGAAAATATTGTCATTCAGATAGTGAGTGCACTCTCCTTGGAGCACACGAGGATTGATTTCGCGTTCGGCTATGGCTTCCCGGGCGTACTAACGTTTTTGTGCAGACTGCGGTGTGTCGAGAGCGTCGACTGACAATTCACAGGGGGTTGGAAAGGCGCAACCCCCGTTGCGCATTCGTGACTGTTCAATACATCTCTCATAGTTTTAACCCAACATGCACCAGATGGCGTAAGGATTATTCAACCCCTTCTCTTTAACATCCACTCACAAAGTGCTCCAACTCTCTCGGTTATAAAAATAGAATAAACCCCAATTGATAACAAGATTTCCATTCGAAATAACCGAGGAGAAACTTACCGGTTGAATAAATAATTGGAAATGCTGATTGGATTGGAAATTTTCTTTATATATTCTATCGGATAGTACTGCACAGATAGAAGTGCAGGATTATAAGCCTGCGCTTGCAGCACGGAAATTTTCAGATATCACCTTTGACTGACTCAAAGGCGGATGGACTCGGATTTTCCTCACTGATATCTTCTATATTAATTTTATGGGATGTTTTTAATTTTTCATCCTTCTATCGTGAAGGAGATACATTGTTAAACGTTTTATGTCTTTGCTGGTACCCATTTGGGAGAAATTCAAATTTCCCATTCCTTGGTACAATGCACCAGAGTATTTCGCGAGTGCTATACAGTATTTTCCCAGTGGTACATTCTTTTCCATCGAATCTTCTGGGATGGTAAAAAAGAGGTTCGTAAGATCGCAGAGCCATCGCTGTTTTTCAATTTACGTATTTGCATAATGGCGATTTGCATAATAAAGCGGGCAATTTTGCTTGGTGTATGATGGCGGTCGGAAGGCCCTTTTGACATAATAAATGTACTTTTGTCAGAAGCGTGGGCTGGTAATCTATACCGAATTATACATGAAGTTTTGCAAATCAATTTTCAACGGATACATGAAACTTGGGCTGCCGGGGTCTGATGTTGGTAAGCCACCCTAATCCGGATAATCTTCAATTTCTAAACTATGTGGAACAGGATCGTTAAGGTAAGTTCGTGTATGCCATTGTCTCGTAACGATTCCAATCAATCGACCTGGTGTGCGCTTCGTAATAGTGCGATGTAGAGATTCTCAGGGACACACGCGCGATAATGCGTGGGTTTGGCTATCAGTGGGGCATCGCCATTATCCAGCAATCGTCATTCTCCAGTTGAATGTCTTCATTTGTCTTATTCAAATGAGGAGAATAAGATCCACGGGATGAATTCTGCATTGAGAGAGACTGAGCGATGTATTTGGGAGAGGTTTTCGAAAAACGAATGAGTCTTTCCGAGCCGTCGACTCTGTCTCCTCTTGATATTTTTCGTTGGGATGAAAAAAAAAAATGAGAGACAAAAGGAGCCGGGGAAAAGGGAATAATATCCGGAATTTACCCAAGCATCGTTCACGTCAACCAAATCAGGATTGCGACAGTTGCAGAGGGTGGAGGATTCTACCCATGAAACCTCTGACAGCCGAGGCAAGTCTCAGACTCAGGAGCTTCCCTGAAAAGTGGGAGGGGCTGGTGAGACAGCGAGACGACACATCTTTCCGTAAGTCTCTTTTGCCTGGCATTCTTGGAGATGTCCTCGGGGATGTGAGTCTCCTGACTTTCATCATCGTTGTAGGGCTGTGTTGAGTTGTTCTGGTAAATTCCGGGTCATTCGATAATATTGCAGGTGAAACGATCAAAATCGACCATCAAGACCTACCTAGTCCTCAAAACTGCACGTAATATGGAGGAGAAACGAGAAAACAACAGATTAAGTCGGAATTTTTCGTCTGAAAATCAGACTCGTACCTCGATTACAATTCACCAACACCGTCAAATATTATTGGCACGTGTATAACGAGCAAATAAAAGACGATGCCCTCTACCATTCACTGGGTTTGAGTGCGCGAATAAAACCTCACTTTTATCGTCACTTAAATGGCACAGTGAGGAGACGTTAAAGGCACACCTCCTCCACCTCCTCACCATCAGGCAGAATAACATTAGTGCCCCTCATTCCAATCCAACATTCGCTGAGCGGACAATCTGTGACCATTTCGAATTTCGAATTGGCAAATCCAATCTCTCAATTCGCAAAAATTGAGAACCTGTCTGCTCCTAAAGTTTAACTCAATTCATTGTAACAATTCATCAACCAACTATTCACGATTCCCAAAAAGCTGCGCTCAAACCAATGTGTGCTGCACGTACAGAGAGTACCGCGAGTAATTTTTTTTTTTTTTCAGAACAAAAAAAGACTTTTGGACTGTGAGTGACGTACGTATCGCACAGTTGAATACTTCCATCCCCTTTCGAAATACAAATTTTCGTAAAACAAGATGTGTTTATACGTTTGATGTTAAAAGCACTAAAGTTAAATGCTACCTTTTTCGTACCTCTTGACTCGGTAAATATGCACATGGCAGGGTGAAAGTCTCTTGGTTTATATGACACGAAGATTGGTGGCTTTAAAGGCGTTTGTTGCATACACTTGAAAATCTCTTCTCCTCCTCTCATTCTCTCCCCTCTCCGTTTCCTTTTAACGTCAGAAATTGGAGCACCGTGAAGTCTCAAGATCATAGTAATTATGTGGTTCCAACGCCGTGCAAAGCGAATTTGCGCTCATGCTATTAAGTCGTCGTATGGAGACGACAGTTTGGATTTTCTTTGGGCTCATTTTTTTTTCCTGCCCTCGAGATGAATTTTGCCCGCTGCATAATATCACTGTTGCCAGTAATGGAATGAGTTGCTTGAATTAACATTTTTCTCCAGAAAGAATATATGCAAGACTCATCACCATAGAGCGGTTGGAAAATTCATGAAGAGGACCCCAAAGTTCCTGTTAAATAACTGCAATATTGAAGACATTATTCTCTAGACTCCAAAATTATTGAGAAATAGATGATTTTTTTAATGAGATTTGGGGGACGGAAATTGGAGGAGGGAGTTGACGTTACCCTTTCATATCATTATTTTCCGTAATATTTCGTGGATGTGCGACGATGTGGGTTTTTAAATGGAAAACTACGTCGTTGGACTATAAATTCAACCACAAGGAGACATGAGTGAGTTTGAGGGCCTCGTTGAAGGCGAATGACGCTCATAATTCTCACAACCCCTCTCAACTCTATTTGACATTCAATTAGCGAGGCCAACCCGTGGATCCGGCAGCGTGTGCCCACTTTTGAAATGACACGCGTGGCACTGGATATATCCGTCTTACCATTTTCGGTGACTAGTGACACTTGGTTTTTTTCAATTACGGCCTGCGAGCGTTTGTCGGTGAAATACATCCTGACGAATCAGGAAACGAAGATGAGAAGGGGCGGAGAGTGTCACCAAGTGCTTGTCATTACACGTTTTAGTAAGTCGTGAAATGATATTCATGATGAATGGAAAACTCTTCGTCACGTAGTCGTAGTCACTACGAGAACTGTCATCCGTTGTTCCCAAGTTCCGGTCATTGTTTTGCCTGTAATCCATTCCTAGATTGCTTCCCAGGTGAATACAGAATTCGCATGAACTTTTGAGATGACATTGTACATGAGAATAGCATAAATATTCTGATCTGGATAATTCGATACACAGCCGTAGTTGGGTAGGTTCATCCACACAAGTTATGGTTGGGAAAAAGACACGTGGTGTATGATGATGGTCGACGTACGATAAAGTACCCAGTCAACTTGGCCTTGAACAAGGTGGTGTTAGCGTAAGATCAGCGTCATGATAAATTTACACAGCAGGTGGTGAACACTTGTGTGGAGATGCGATTACCAAAGCGATATGGGAAAGAGCTGACGTAGTGAAATAAAGTAAATACAGTTGATCATTTCAATCCTCAAATTGCGGATCATCCAGAACGAAAACTATCTGCCCGAATCACATTCCTGTCCATCGGTGCAAAAGGTACATGTGCCAAGATCACCTTCCAGGCGAGATTGTGCTATGTTTGAACTGTAAATTATTAAAATCAGTTGCACTTCCTCGGAGGCATGAGACAACTTGATCATACTTGATCATCAATTTTGCTCGCATTTTTTTTAATGCTATGAGAAAGAGAGGTAAAGGGGGGGATGGAGGGTGCGAGGGGATTACTCGATGTTTCTGATGATTTCGAGGGTATAGTGTTGGCACTGACGCCTCGGGTGCTCATTCTCGTACAAATTACCTTCTCGTTAAATATTTCAGCCAATGCGTTACACTCGCACGCCCTCCAACGCACACGTATTATAACATTGGGCTGATTATCTTACTGGGAACCTTGCGTGCAGTTCAACTTGGGTTGTGAAAAAGAGAGAGACTGACGATCGTATAAACAGCCGCCGCTCGAACATCAAACATTCTGCATATCCATCACCATCTTTTTCGTACCGGGGGCTCTTAGCGGCATTTTTTGTTGATTTTTTTTATCCAGCAAATTGATAATAATTAATTCTTTCTGAAAAATATAAAATGAATATGATCTTTTTCATTGCCTCCTTTTTCAGAAGCTCTTTTTACATTTTTGGTCGTAAAAGTTGTGTCACAACGGAAATTTAAAACGGAAACTATGGGAAGCGCGGGAAATTTGAGTTTAGTGTTTATGACGCAAGATTTCATGATAAAAATGCACAATTTTTCATTTATTTTACTCTTCAGGGGTCCGTCGGAGTATGACCATTAAAAATAAACTCTGCATATTCCGCTGCATCCCTTGAGTAGACTTTGACTGTAAAAAAGTAATTATTTATTTACAGCTGGCAGTAAACTGGCGCAAACCACTGAAACCCCCCACTCAGCTCCCAGAATACGATGTTTTTATTTCAGTTTTAATTTGGTACATCGGGACTCCATTCGCACTTGACTCGAGGAGTCAAAATTAATGTAATTTGTACTTCAAAGATGAATATTTATGGACGTAATTTGCAAAAATAGCATAAAGCTTCACTGAATTTCAACTTATTGGTATATTAAAAACTTGAGAAATTTTATACTTTCGTCTAATTAACAAGAATAAATATTCCGCAATAAAACCAGGAGAATTAATGAAGATGGTGGAGAACGAAAAGAACTCGGAGCGAGTGATCTTAATCCAATTTCATCACTGCCTCAGCAACCATGACTAATGGCGAAGAGTAATAAATATTTGCCAATGGTTAAAATCATTAATCAATGCACTCTCAAGGCATTATGGTTCAATACCCGATAACAATCTCACCCCGAAGGCCAATTGATCTTTCCGGCATCAAAAGAGAAAATAAAATTCAAATAAAAAATTCACTCATTGCTTGAAAGGTGTTACTTTAATTAGAAATTCGATAGCATATCTATAATCACAGCTTTCAACACTTTCTTTCTCCAACCAACACGAACCACCGACAATTAATCTGAAGAATTGATTGTTTAAGAGATTCAGCTTTATGAATTAATCCAGAACTGGGAAGTACAGTTAGAAAATGGGAATTGAATGCAATTTATCGGGATATTCGAGCCCCTGGTGACTCCTGGTGAATTAGAAATAAGACTGAGCTGCAGAAATTGAATAAAATAGAAATAAATGAATATATAAGATTGAATTCGCTTTAATGACTCGGTCTTGTGAAAGGACTGATTTCATCCTTTCACGTTTATTCGAAATTCCGAGTGGAGCGTCAGGTTCTTAATTCTTCTTCGCGGAGTCGAGTAAACGAGGAGAGGATCATCAAGTATTTATGGATTCTCCGAGGCTAACAGCTCTGGGTCATGCAAACGCATTTCATTAGATAGTGTTTCCTCTTCCACTTGGGATAATTCCACGAGGAGTGATGGGGGCCTCTTAGCGCCATTATACCATATGTTAGTTTTTTGGAGAATGCTTTCAGCATTGGGTTGTCCTGAAAATGGAATTTTATGGAGATGGGAAATATTCTAAAATTTTCTCACAACAATGTTGTTTTCTATTTTAATTTCTCCTTGAGTATACGTTATGTACACATATTCAGGGACAGCTGAGTTCTTTTTATCGGTACAAGTGTCATCAGCAAAATGGAGTGTCTCATTCATATGCGGATGATTGGAGTTTGGACACTTGTGGCTTTCCAGCATTTCCCGTGAAGCACTTCCGCTTCCGGTTGGAATTACACGTGCATCATCAGCCAATTGAGCGTTTAACACCTGAGATGTATTCATAAGCGGTTAGAACACATGTTGCAACACAGTTTTATTGAGTTTATGGTAATGATGTCGTTCACGAAGACCTCGGGATAACTGGAGAATTGAAAAACCCGCAGATCGTTGGGAAAATATCATCGCACACTTTCTATTTTGCGGGAAATTAATTCGTTCAGTACGAGCAGTTGATTCGAGCTCTAAATGATGAATCTCCGGCCATGAATTAGAGGAATAGATGGACGTGTGCGATTTATCATTCTGCGGATAGTCTGTTTTGGATGGACGAAACTGTTGATTAGTTTCCATTCATTCACTGCGATCAATGTGTTCATTTTCTCTTTTCATCTATTTCATTTAGTTCTCTTTTTGTGTGGACGTTGGTCAATATATAGGGCTTCATTTTTCAATACCAATTCGTTTGACTGCAGAACGAAAAATGAATAATGATCCGCCATGCGATACAAATCGCTGGTGATCCACTATACGGGCATATCAAAGAATTCAAAGACTTTAATTAAACCGGTGCAGAGCGAGATTCTATGAAACTACCAATTGGCTCTTCATTTAATAGAATACTTTTAATTCACCTCTGAATGAGAAGCTTCTGCAAATATGTGAGATCAAAAAACTGATGAAAATTGAGATAAGAACGCCGGGAAAATGGAAGTGGATAAATTCTAATATTATGCGAAGCCATTTAATTAAAATTTACGGAAGTAATTTGGCTCTAGAGTTTTTCGTATCGTCGGTTGTACTCTTGGGTAAAAATTGGCCTACAGCCACGTACCGCCAGTTTTTCGCTCCGACGATTGCGATTAATAAAAAAAAAAATTCTCTCGCGCCACATAGATTCCTTCAGGCGCGGTTGGAGGGGTTTTCTCCTTCTACAGTCTTTTCGCGATGCTGAAGAGAGGAAATAAAAATTTATTGCCTCTTTCCACCCTCTCCCTACTTTCTGCTCGACCTTTTCCGCCTGCTGGAGATTAAGGTTGCCCATTTAATTTTACGGAAATGGTGGAAAAACAAATTCTCGATTGGTTTGGGTGTATGGAATTTTCGGGTGAGTTTGCGCGTACCGAAAAATAAAATTCATATGCCACTTGTAATTAGCAAAGTTTAATCTTCTTAATCTGCCAGTTGGAATTTTTTTTCCAAATCCTGGAATGACGGGATTAAAAACGGGAATTAGTTGTTTTTGCGTAATGTAATTGGCATTAAATATTACAGAAAGTACTTTCGTTATCGACTTGTGCTTCCGTGTATTTCCATAATTATTCATTATTTCGGAAAATTACGCTCAGTCTTATCACACTTTCTTCATTGATAAGACCAGGCCGTTACCTTTTTGTTATTTTTCTTTTAAACGACTGCGAATAGTTCACAGTACAGGACATGATGGTCTCGATTATAGGTTTCGTTTTTACAGCGTTCCTTGTGCACCAGGTAAATTCAAATGAAAATATTCTATTACGAGTTCTCAATTGAATAATAAACGAATTTATCTCCACCAGGGAATCGCAAATTATGCAATTGACGTTGTATCAATGAGATCAACGAGAGTTTCACATAGTCATGTAACTTATGGCGATGAACAAGATAGCAATTGGATAATCACCTTCGACGAACAGACACAAAATTCCACGGTAACTGAAAATATCAATTATATTCATTTGAATCATCATTGAAATGAATACATAAATACATTGAAGTTCGAAGCAACATTTTGGCAAGTGGGCAAATTCCCAGGATCATCTCTTGAGGGAATTGTCTGCGGAAATGATGGCGATCAAGGACCTGCTGCGGAGTCCATCTCCAAGATACTTACCGAAATCATCGACTCCGATGACTGTCCTCCCCTAGTAAAAACAAATTATTTTCTCAAGAAAATTGAAGTTATAACTTCTAAATTGACATTCCTCGATTTAATTTTCCCAGGGAGCATACACGGTCAAGCGATCGTTTGTGATCGAAGGGGATGGATTCTCCGAATATTTGAAACCCGGATTCGAGACTGCTGGCATCAGCATCGGAATATTCCACCCACTTTCTGACGGATCCAAGGCGAGAGCCTTCAGCATAAGCCTTAAAATCTCCGAAGGTAGTTAAAAATCGTAAAATTTATCAAATAGGAATCGACTATTCGATTTCCAATTCCTCATTAACAGTCCTGCGTGACAAGCTGGACTAATTTTATTGTGAAAATGCCTACATAATAATGACAATAATAATAATAATAATAATAATAATAATAATAATAATAATAATAATAATAATAATAACCCCCTGGATGATTAAATTCATAATTTTTCACAATGATAATCGTTTTTGATTCCTCCCTCAATTGCCACCTGTTCTCCAGGACGCAGGGATAACAACGCATGATAAAAATTCCCGCATTTTCAACCAATTTGAAAATAAAATAAAATGAAAATAATAATTCCCGACGGTGGGAAAGCACGCTAGATTTAAATAGGTTAGGTCGCGTGCAGGTGGCTGAACAAGTGGGGGTCAGGGTCAGATTAACCCCGATCAGGTTACCTACAGGCGTGGGAGACCAGGCCTATGGATAATAATAGGATGGCAGAATGGCCTAGTGCGATATAGGATGCGTTGGAGTGTGGCTTTTATGCACCGGTGCAATATCAGATCGGCTGATACACAGTTATGTTGTTTATAAAATCGTTTCATCACTCTTGATTTATTGGTGAGTAGATATTACTGATGGATAGTCTGTAGACGACAATTGGTTCGTTCAATATCAAATATATCATCAGTTGTATCGATCAAATCATTCCAATGATTCCAATAATTCCAATAATTCCAATAATTCCAATAATTTCAATAATTTTAAAAATAGTTATGATGAGATGAAATGGCGAACAGATTGCGTAAAGTGGATGTGTACAGATTTCGGCATGAGACCTGATGATCAAAAATTTGAATCTTGATGTTTCTTCCACGTTGTTATTACTTACCTCCTTCGGTATTTGTCCTGATCAGCAGTTGCCATCGGTTTTCTGTACATGTACTTCTCTCTGTACTGCCCGCAGCTTGTTTTTTATTCATCCACTATGGAAGTTCTTAATCGGCCGTAAATAATTGCATTTATCACACCTCCACTGGGCCCGCCGAGGAAGAGAACGGGGCCGATCTAACATGGAGAAAATAAAATGATTATTCTGGCTCTCTCGGTACCCGGATGGAGGCATATCAATTGCTGGGGATCAAGACTCGTCTCGGGGAGGCTGAGGAATTTTTAGGAGATGTTGAATAACTTTTTCATCAATTTTTTTCTAACTGTTGGATTGGTGAGAAATTACGAAACACCCACGTGGCAGTTTGGGGAGTACTTTATTTTTTTTTTAGGGGAAACTTTTTTGGTCCAGTGAATGTTAGTGGCGGGGTGAAGCCATATAGATTATGGTGGAACACCACTCTTGGTGGACGTTTATGGCTACATTGCACGAGGCACTCAATCGTGGATTTTGATACAACTTAATCGTGGAGGATCCTGTAACATTTATAAGGAGAAAATGATGGCCAACGTGGGACGTGAAATTTTGCCAAACATATTTCGGAGTAAGTCGTTACACCGGTGATATTTTTATCGCGTATTTTCTGACGCCACTATTTTACAGTCTCATTAATCCTGAGGGTTTCATCGCGTCGCACGGAACCTTCTAGAAATTTCATTAGACAATGATTTCTTACGTGTCTGGGATAATTACTGATTTGTTTTAGGGGGGATTTACTGTAAAAAATGATTGAGAAACAGCTCTCAGTGTAATCTACGTGTCTGGATGAATCGTGAGGTTCACCACACGATTCAGAGATGGAGGTTTAAACCGGACCTCATTGTGAAACGCCTTTTGCGCCTCATCCTTGTGGCTTGAACCCGTGTAGATCCGACGTTGATACCTGCACAGTCCAAAAGATAAATAAGAAAAAATAGTCGAAAAGACCTTGCCTCTCTGCACGGTACTAAATGCTCCAGTTTATAAGGGGTTATCTCGGGTGGAGATCCCTCACCGCAAATAAAAGTGTATGAACCAAAAGGGCGTGTCCATTTCTATCCACAGAAATATTTCTTTATCTCACTAGGGGATTAAATGGAGAACAAAGATTCTCATTTCATTAAGGTCATTAGGGCTTTTTTCCTGACAATCCGGGCATTTTTTTTTCATCCAGAATAAATGAGGGAAAGTTGAACTCGTAAAAAATGGATTATTCAGCTTGGTGGGTCCTTACCTCCGTAATTTCACAGCAATTATTCAACACGACCTGCGTGGGCCCGATTTTAATTTCAATTTACCGATTCGACAAATTAGTCCCCCCAAGTTTCTCTGCTTGTCAGTGTTCAATTTGGCAGGAGCAAAGTTGGAAAAAAAAAACGGAGAAGTCAACGGAAAATTATTGGTGACATCGATCATCAAAGTTGTTCGGCGGTTTCCCGCAGCATCTTGCGCCTGTAATTACCGAAATTACCGAAAGATGATTGATTCCCATTCATGATTTCAATTACCCATCAAGTGACGTATTAAATTTTTAATTGAATCCAGCCGAACGAAAACTTAACGCATAATTAATAATCGTTCATGGTTATTGGGGTAATTGAATACGCCGGGTACATTGAAAATTGCAGGGATATTGCTGGCGACACGACACCTAAAACAGGATATTTTCACTCCCAGAATAATATAATTAAACTGTTTCTGGTTGAATAATTAACGACATGCGAGGGGTCTCTGGTCGATCGTGAAAATTGTCCTCGAATTAAGTCGAGAATGAAATAGCAGATGTAATAGTCGAAAGTGTTTCCACCAGCCGCGACCACAGGATCAATTGACTAAATCAATTTCATGGCATCATAAAATAAAATAAATAAATCAATATTATTCACGCGGAATAACAAATCCCGGTACACAATCAATTTGCAATTGATCTAGTATAATTCGAGGGATAAAAAAATTGGAAAATAAACTATCGATAAATAAGTGCTTCTGGACTTCAGTAGTAACTCGAGCAATGGCGAAGAGTCACACTTGGTGCCCTTTTAATTACACCTCAGTCTAATTTATTGCGAAATCTGCACCGGTGGCAATTCGATCAGATAAAACCAACCGCCATAAACCACTGCGTCATATAAAACTCGTCATTTTTTTCCCTTCCATTTCACCTCTTCTGCTTTCCACTCTGAACCCCTCTTTTATTTATTCATTTTTTTATTCATTTTTTTATTCATTTTTTAAAACCGCACCGTGTGAGGAGATCAGGCCCTCGCATCTCTCGCATCCTTTCCCACACGTTATGTACCCACGTCTCATCTACCCACCGTAGAGGGGAGATCTTCTTGTTTCGTCTGCCTTTTCCTCTTCGTTCGATAAAGGCATGAATTTCTTTTTTTTTTTATCCTCTTGCACTGCGTTTTGCTCCTTCTCTTTTGCCTCGTCGGGACGTGCGTCCTGCCTGCGGCCGCCCACGCGCCGACCCGACGCCCTATTCTTCCCTCAAATAAACCCCGTTTTTTCATAAGCAAAAAAAAAAGTAAAAACATTGTTGAATCTAGTACATTTGCAGGATCTGCAATAAAAAGCCGCGAGTACCTGGAATATGTTTGAATAGATCGAGTCATGTTCGTTGGAATTGAGTCATACCGCAATTCCCTTGAAGAATAGCACCAATAACCGAGGAATGCGGTTCAATAATTCGATCATTGTTGGGCATTAGGGTACCATGAGTAATTGCAGCAATGAGAGTACTCCGATCTTAATGTCGGAGGATCATGCGGGTATCCTGGTAGTCATCTGGTACCAGTGACAGTCTGAATGGAAACCAAACAGGATCATCCAGCCATCGGTATCGACCAGGTGTTGTCGAGTGGGTAAACTTGATTGGCTCTAGTGTCGATATTAATAATTCAAAGCCCATGGATCCACTCTCATCAGTCTCTGTGCACCTAGTCTGTGCTATATAGCAAACGTGCTTTGATTTACCCAGGGAAATGGGGTGTTTCTCCATCCACCGAATGTTTATTCATAAACCGAGATGAAAAAATTTTTGTGGAGTTGAACGAACGTTCAGCTTCAGACGGAGGGGATGATTGAAAATCCTTTTGATGTGTCACATCAGCTTTGCGTCAATATGAAGAAGCGAAATTAGACGGAGAAGTACTCGTCAACTCGACGTAATTCGTACGAGAGTTTTAGTCACTGGAAAAAAAATTCTCGTGTCACAAAACGCATCACCATTTTTAGTCGTATATAAATAGGTTTTTTTGATTGTTAATTAAAAATTTTGTTCATTAAAAAAAAATATAGATCTATATATACATATATATATATATATAAAGTCCATATATTATAGGCAATTATGCATGTGTTTTTAAATTAGATGTTATTAAATGAGCTCAATAGTTTTATTTGATTAATTATGTACGTTCATTTAAAAAATTAATGGATTGTTACGGGAATAGTGAGAGGTCGTTTAATACCGATGACTGAAATGCGCATTTGTCATCTGAAATTGGCGGGTACCAAGTGCGATAAGAAGCTTGACGGCTGATTGAAACTGAAAACCGAATCGTCGAATATCCAATAACGGTTGACCTGTTTCATTTGTTTGATTTTATTCCGGGCAGGTTTCCAAGTGTATTGACGATTGAAAAAGAATCGACAGTGGGTTAACAAAAAAAAAATCACAAAAATACCGCATCTCTCATAAAAGCCAGTATTCACTGAGCAATTTTCAATCTGGAAATAGTCGGAATTTTCGGTGGAAATGTGGAGCATGGCCAGACAAACATTCACCAAAAAACGAATGAGAGAATTCCGCGAATAGAGAAAATTCTTTCGCGAATGTACTTAATGCCCCGATCCTTTCAAACCCTGTAATTAATTTTCATAATGAAATCGTAAGAGATCTTTTATCACTGATTTTATTTTATTCTGAATCGGTTGAATAATCGCGGACTGCAATCGCCTGCAACTGCCTGAGCGAATTCAGAAGGGTAAATTCCCCAGATTGTTTGGTGTTCGATTCGAGGCGGCGATTATCCGAAGAAATACATTCTCCGATTGAACATACCTCTTCTACACCTGGAATACAAAGGAATTATGAGAAAATAAATCTCAAAGTATCTCGTATTATCGCCGGTTAAATATTCCTCAACGTAATCAAAATATCAGCGAATTTATTTCCATGAATTTTTCAATCATTCTATTATTGATTCGTATTGTTTAGCTTCTTCCAGTCATAAAAGATTCCGAACTTGTGAATCCCCCGGAGACAAGTCCTATAGCTGTCTTCATAAATAAAACGATTAATCCTCACTTTGTGTTCATTTCACATTGGATTCATGAATAATTGCATGCACATTATTGACAGAGTGTATCATTTCTGGCGCCTCACGTGTCAGCTGATGGAAAAAGGAAAACAAAGCGACTCGAGAAACCGGTGATTCCCCGATTCCACTAAAAGATAAAGAGACTGCGTTAAGTGCAACTATAAAAGACTTGCTTTACTCTTCATCAGCATCAGTTTCAGAGTCTTCTCATTTACGAAAGCATCGAGAACATGAGGTTCGCTATTTTTGTGTTGATTGTTGTGTTCGCCATTTTGGCAAGTGTTCAGTCGGCGGGTCCAAAACCACCCAGACCACCACCGGTCAAACCGATTCGTCCCAATCCCCCGGTGCAACCTGTAAGACCTCATCCGGTAAGAGAAATTTATCCTAAAATAATTACCAGTAATGATTATCAAATTTATTCACTTACAATTATTAAAAATCTTAATTAGCGTCTACGACGAGCAGCTGAACCAGAGCCCAACCGACCAAGACCCCAGCAAGTGCCTCCACGTCCACCACATCCCGTAAGAAATATTCTAATTAATTACTCATTATTAAATAAACAACGGTGTAAATTGAAAATCCTGATGATCATGATGTTTTTTCCAGAGACTTTAAATGAGACTTTAAAACAGAGTGCAATTCCGGAGTCGAATAATGGGCAATCAAATAATAAAAAATGTATAAATGCGCAGGTGAAATAATTAGAATCTACACCGAATAAAAAAGCAATTGAAATATGCCGAATATATAAATATATGAAATATGAATATGTATGAAATATGAAATACATCAAATAATAAATGAAGCAAATTAAATATTTAATTTTTTCTCATTGTCATCCATAGATTTGATGAATTAATTTCTCATTGTTCCGTTTTTGAAAATTATATTTGAATTTCCGTGATTTTACATGGATTTTGATAGAAATACAGAGCAGTTCGCGTGATATAGTGAACAAGCATTTACCTAAATGCACAAGCAAAGTGTCACGTATGCCACAATTTCATGATGCTGACATTGGATTTAAGACTGACAGACTGGAACACGTCAGCCCTCCGGAAGCCCTTCAACAGGAATGGAGCCCTTCAAGAATGGAGTTTTCGTATTTTCCGGAGTACACGATTCGAATGGAATAATCCGGGAGATGAAAAGATCACCGACATATTGAGGGTTGGTGGCAAAAAGAAGAAGAGAGTGGGACGTGCGTTTGCATGGCGTCACGTAGAGGCACCTCCTGGGGGTCGTGAAGCCGCCGACGACGTTTCCCTCGTCCACAGGAATTCCGTTGATCATCTTGCCTCACGTTTTCCGTCCGAACTCCATCAGCATAATTTACATTCTTTTCAGTACCTCGAATTACCTCAATCGAAATTCAAATCAGTCTTTGATAACAAATTGATGCGCAAAATCCCGTCTTTACCAAAATGAACGACAGGTTTTTACAAAAAGATTTATTTCATGATGAGTTCCAACATTATTTTTATTTTTATTTCGTGCATTATTACTGTACCAGGGAATTTGGATAACGCAAGATGTGATGGAAAAAATGAAACTCCTGGGACTCTCCCACGCAGGATTGAATAAACTTTCTCACGCATTCAGAGAAAATTACAGTGCGGCAAATCCCCAGGAGCCTCCAAAAATATTCGAATTGCCATCCTCATCACGAGATCCTCATTCTTCGCGCAGTAGCTGGAGAAAATGCAGATTGGGCCGAAAAAACAAAAGGCCGCCCTCATGCTCAATTTGCGGTTGGCATTCCCGAGGTATCCTCGGGTATCACGAGCGAGCAGAAGAGAGGTAAAAAAAAACAATATATATATATACCCAGACGAATTTCAATTATGAGGACTTGCAGTTGGCTGACAGGGGGCGCGCATTCGAAATTCGGTAGCTCTCGAGAGCACCTCAGACCGTAATGAAACATTCACTGGTACACCGCAAATTGCCCTTTCCATTCGAACTGTCGGTGAATCTCCAAGCAAGAAATCAACTGTTTTCAACCTTCCACTTTACTCCTTCAACTTTTTGCAAATAATTTTTTTTATACCCATTGTTTTGTGCCTCCAGGCCAAACCCCTACCAAATGTTCAATTCCCGTTGGCAATTATTGGTTTTGGCGTGGTGAAAAATTCTCACCGCAGAAACCCCAACCGTTCAGTGTCAATTTTTTTTCCAACCCCATTTTTGGCATTTCTACTGCACTTCATTAGTTTTTTTTTTTTTACCAATTTATCAACAATTTTTTAAATCGTAGATTGAAGAATGTTTTATTCCGGAGTAATTGAATTGGTAAAAGTGAAAAATCAATCGGTGGAATCCAGGGGATTGGAAGTATAAATGGAACGTGATGTATTTATTGAAGCCTGTGAAAACTTTCAAATATTTTGTCGTTCTTTCCAGATGAATCCAAACTTCATTCAGGGCGATACCTCTCTCGGGATTTTCCTCCTCCTCGGGAAAATCTACTCTCATCCATCCCAGTGAGAGTAAACTTCTTCTCGATGTCGGCTTTTCCTCCAACTCTTTTTTTTTTATATGAGAACTGAATCGAGACGCTTTTTACGGCTTCCCAAGGTGGGATTACGGGGATCCATTTCCTATTCCATTGGACCTAATCTTATGTCCAAAGTACTCCACAAAACGTTGCAATAAAATTACGGTACATCTCCACTCTTGGATCTCATTGGTCTGGGACGTGAGTTTGCTTTTACAGTGCTATTACCCCTGGAACGCCAGTTCAAATAAGAAATTCTGGGAAAAAAACGGAGAAGCCTATCAAAATAGTCCGCGGTTTAATTTTTCAGAAATTCAAGAAGAATTAAATGAGAATTAATTTATCATCTACATAACCTGCACATATTGATATTTTTTCTTCGATTTCTTCGAAGAACAACTCGCGTCGTCACGTGCATTTTCTTTTCGTATTTGCATGCAGAACTCATAGTTGTGTAGTACTAAGTCCCTGAATACTCGAGTGTAGTGAGACCCTTATATGGCTCGGTTTATGCCTTCTTCCTGCTCTTGGAGGTAGGGAAACGTTTATTGTCAATGACAGTTGAGAACTTTCCAATGGAGCACGTGTGATGCATATGGAATGGAGTGCGCAAAAATGGGGAGAAAATATAAGTGCCGATATAGTTATTTTCGGAGTAAATACAAAAGTTTCCACACCCAAATTTATGATTCCGTTGACGAAGTGATAAAGATAAAAATGGCGCCGTTCTTCCACCTGAGTGTTCCCTCAAATGCCGCGTGTAGCGCTGATGGCCTAGTGTTACCCCAAAAAATATAACTGAATAAAAAAAATGAAATATATATGATCTCTATAATTATTTCAACACATGCTTGTATGATGAAGATATCCTAATTAAGCTCGCAAAGTAGTAATTCCAGAAAATGACAAGAAAATGACAAGAGTAGAATTTCCCAAACACGTCCCCTAAGTTGTAAAAAAAAAATCTAAAAGCCATAAACCTCAGGGCCTTATCTTCCACCTCATGGGTAAGCATTCATCTTAATCTTTTTTAAAAAAGACTCTGAAAGTATTCGTAACCAAACACTGGTGCGGTGTGTCACACGTCAGATAGATAGCGTACACCAGCGAAAGAGGGATAAAACCCAAAACACGAGGGGAGAAAAAAGGTAAATAAACGAAAAATCGTCTTTTACACGCGCGTGTATGGTATCCCTTTTGTAAGGACATCGAATCCAGGGGATGAATGCACACGCCCTGGTGGTGTAATAAATACAAAAGTTTTCATGGATGAAAAATTTATTCGCAATCAAGAAATTGACAACAAAAGAGCATCCTGATGACTTTAACTGGCTCTGGAAAATTATCCCGTGAGTAATGGTAAATAATAAATGTTAATGTTAATTACAAATAGCTGTAGCCCGTGTATTCCCTTCTGAGCTTACTCAACAAGACTATTGTACATCGAGTGTAATGAACTCACGTGGAGATAAATAAAGAGATAATAGCCATTGTTAAGTGCGCATGACCGTCCACAATGTTTCGCAATAACGATCCAGTCAGGTTCTCTCTCATACCTTCAATGTCCTCGACAAAGTCGCCGACTTTCCGACAGGTGCATCAGCAACACGAAACCTCATCCCACGATTCCATGAAACTTGATCTAAACAAGGGGTTGGTGGGGTGAGGATGAAATAAAATAAAATAAATTGAGTGGAGAACAACTGGGAGAAATATTCCGAGGGAAATTACCATCACTTAGCCTCCTACAGTTGTCTACTAGGTCCACGGTTTACGATCGATTAAATACCTAAATAGCCGATTCATCAGTGGTTATAAAAAACGATGAGCATATCATCGTCGGTAACATGAATTTTCAAAAGGCATTAGAGGCACCTTCGGCGCGCGATCGTGTCGTCTCTTCCTCATTTAAATATTTTATTGTTATGAGATTTCAACGGCATCGTTTCAACTGTGATAGTGACACTCCTTTTTATGGGGGAAAGTTGGCTTCGAGAGTCCGATCAAATGAACGGAGCAGAGTTTAGAAGTTGAGAGGATATTTCTTGAATTTCTCCAATCTCTGGATTAAATTTGATTTTTACGGTAAGACGCAAGTGATTATTTCTCCACGGTCATTAATTATTTTGAAATTTGCGGCGGGTACCAGGCATCCGGCGCAATTTCTCGAATGCAAATTTTTTCTGAAAACCGTCACTCGGTCTCGTATTCGCGCGATATTCAAATTTACCGCGTTTAATGTGCGCGTTATCGAGATATTTCGGGTTGAAGTGAGAACGGAGAATATGTAATCACCAAATGTTAATTGATTTACTCAATCTTTTGGAGGATCGATCTATTAAAGTCAAAATCAATAGAATGAAAAGAAAACATTTCTATTTTAAAGAGCGATACGTAGAGGCGTATTGTCTTTGGACATCAGTTGTTATCCTCGAAAGGAAAACCATAAAAGTCCAGGGCAACGCATCCTGATACCGATCCGTTATCAGATGGCGTGTAGGCGGTTATACGTGGTATGAAAACGATGCCGGTAAGAATGGAAGACAAAAAGGTATTTCTTGTGAGTGAAGGTGGGGGTTGGTACAATGTTCACGACGTTTATGGTCATGATACAGTGCCTGGAGGTATTCCAAACACATTGTTCTCAGAGGTGGTTTGAGTGGCTCCAAGTTATTGTCGTAGACTCGGGTATGTTTTCCTGGTGGAATAATAATTCGAGAGAGAGAGGCCTTTTTGGATCGAGGCTAAATTATCAATTTTATCGGATGGTAGAATCCACTGATGGATCGATAAGGCGAATTTACACTCTGAGGGATAGGAAAGCAGAATTTGGAGAGTGCTTGAGGCCCCTGACATCTAGATGCCACTCGGTGACAAAGAGATACCGATCGGAAACTGTTGGAGGCACTTGGCATTCTTGAGTGGTGCACTGATGAGTCTCAGGACACCCTCTTGACTCGCAAAATCTCCAGATTTTCCTCAAGTGCCTGTCGTCTCCACTTCCTGAATCGTATGTGATCTCCAGTCATTGATAAATTATTTATCCGGATGAACAAGAAAATTACTTCACCCCGAAATATCTAGTGCTAAAAAAAAATTCTGATTTTCTGGAGTTGTGATTCTGATCAGGAATACCTCCAGAATCAGAGGATTTAGCAGTCTGATACATCTCTTAGACAATTCCATGTTCTGCAGCAAAGTGGATTTAAAAAAATGGTGAGCGCAATA